GAATCAGCTCAAAGTTGATACACAACATAAGAACTTGTATATGTATCAGAAAATATTATAAAAATGGAGAATTCTCTCTTTATGATTTTTGTCAAAATACCCTGTATTGTGTAGTACAGTGTCTTTCACCCAATTTTTGAGCAACTTTAAAAATCCATCAAAAATAAGCTGCATGAGTACTATGCCAAAATCCTGTAGGAAACCCAGAGTACGTCACGTGTAAGTAACAATGTAAACACATGTAGCCAGGGAATTATTTATTGTACAACTTTCAGATTGGCCCACCATGTAAATTGCTTGCCAGCCCGGGCCCGTTCTATAATAGCTCAGTAGCTTATGAGGCTAATATTTGTTGTATTACTAAAAATTTCTTTATTTCTTAAAAGCACTGCACATGAAATTTATCCACATACACATAGTTTCAGTTAATTGTTACGACAGGTTTTCATATCAGAAAACTTTAGAGAATAGTAATACTCTTGGTAATATCCTTTCCAATCATACCATATGATTCCCCTCCACAGACCATTTCCAGTTGGATTAGTATAATAAGGACCATTGAGATGAGATTGGTGGCAAGCATTATACCACCAGGCACCAATCCAGTCAGTAGCACTAGCACAGTCCCCACCATATTCATCATTATCATTATCTCTTGTAGTGAATTTCATTCCATTGTGAATTGCAGGCTGACCAAGATTAGAGGTTTAAGATGAGGTTTAACATTATTAAGAAATAACTTTATTATAAAAGGAGCAAAATAATCTAAATACACTAAATAATAACTGATTCTACACAATCCTGTCACACACACATTATTTATGTTTAATTGTTATGACGAATTTTCATCTCAGTAAACCTGAGACTATAATGTTCTCCTTTCCAATCATGCCATATGATTCCTTGCCATATAGGAGGTTCATATGGATTAGTATAGTAACGACCATTGAGATGAGATTGATGACAATTGTTGAACCACCAGGCACCATTGTAAACATCAGCACAATTATTATTATCAAAATCATTTTTGTTATCTCTTGTAGTGAATTTCATCCCATTATGCTGATGATTATAAAAACGTAAATCTGTAAGGCTATCACCAGCAGTACCAGAGTATCCTCCTACTGTTAGTGTATATTCAGTATTACTGTTACCAACACTGAATGTAGAGTAGTTAGCATAAGCTGTGTTCCCCTCAAAGTCTCCCAGGTCCACTCTTAGTGTGTTTGATCCTTCTTTAGTAAGACGATGAATCTTGCTCAATCCTAACCAAAACTCACCAGTAAGATCACCAAATCCATTCTCATATTCAATCCAGTATTTTTTGAAATCAACAGATCCATCTTGTCTCCTCTGAAATACAGTCCATCCACCACCATCAGTCTCCATATCACAGTATACCTGTGATCCAACAGTGTATAATTATTAGGTATAATACAATCAAACATTACTTGGAAAGCTGGTCCATCATCTGGTTTTATAGGATATACTCCATTTTGTTTAATTCCCAGTTTTTTCCATGCTTAACAATCAGTTGGCATTACACACACTGCATGTATGTATGTATTATTAATAATTATTGTACAATAGTTTATTTACCTGGTGGAGCATTAACTGTAGTATTTGGAGAGGAAAGATACTCAAAAGTAACCATTGGAGAGGAAGAGGGTGATGGTGATGGTGAAGGTGATGGTGTCTCATCATCAGGACAGTTTCCATTGACAGTATTAATAATAACAATTATTATCATTAAACTGTACATCAGTTTACCAGCTAACATCATCTCAGTATAGTATCTTTATTATATACTTATTAAGATAATGTGATAGGTTATCAGTTGATGTTACTGTAGTGATATTTCTCTCCTTTTATAATAAACTCACTGACACTAGCTCCGTGACTAGTGGACTATAAAGATTGAAGAACATTTTGTTGACTTTTAGTAACTTTTACTGAACATCAACATATCTCTCTCGATCTTTAAACTTTAAACTATACATACTTGCTATTGTATGTGTATGAAACCTTACTGGAATGTTTATTTTTAAATTAATAACATTATCAATGCAGTCCTTACATTTCTGTTATTACAAATATGATGATACCTCTACCTGAAGGCACAGGTGTCATAATAAATGTTAGTAACAGTCCTGGTGTGCATGTAAATATAAGCAAAGTATTTGAAGTATATATGCATGCTAGATGCTTATACATATTTGATATTAATCATTGATGAGGTTTGACATTATTAGGAAATAACTTTATTATAAAAGTAACAAAATAATCTAAATACACTACCTAATAACTG